CCACTTACTTACTCATTAGTTTGAGCTGCATAAAGGCTGTTCCTTTAGTTGTTAGCAAATGAGGAGAAGGTTAATTATTTAGTTGGGTTCCAAGCAGATATGTTAATTCTATCATTGGCTATTGTCATCGCCTCACTGATAAATGGGCATATATATTTAAAGTATCATCCAAAGAACTAAACAGATCTAGAGAAAAATGACCATTTTTACTTTTTCTTCATTTTTTTAAACATATTTTTCTGAGAGGTGTTTCTTAAACATCTTTGTTCTGAGAACCAGCATCATTTCCTTGGTTACAAATGCTTGATGGAAATGCCATCCTAGTTATTTAGGGTGGGAGAGGTCAAGCTTTTGTACGTGTTTGTCTTTATACATGCTTATATGTGCATCTATGTTTATTATATATGTTTATTTGCATTGATACTGTAAAAAATTAGAACTATTTTATCTGGAGTTCTCTTGTTCATTTATTTGTTTACTTATTGTCCTTCTCTACTAGAATATAAACTCAGAGTGGGATTATATTATTGCCTTGTATGCCTTTTATTGTGAGTACCTAGAAGAGTACCTTGTGTGTAAGTGTTCAGTAAATATTTGATGAATGAATGAATAACTAAATGATATACCTAAATATACTAAAAAAGCCATTCTTCTATTCTATTTGGCCTTTGGGACTTGGCTTTAATTTTCCTTGCACTTTATGCTTTTTAACAATTGCATTCAAGAGAGAAGATAAGAATAAGCTAAATGAACTCAGAAATTGCAGATAGAAATTGTGGGTTACCACTTAATTCTTATTGGCTATCTGCCAGAAACTCTTAGAAAAGGTCAAGTGAGTATAAAGGACCAATTTCTTATTCCTAAATGTGTAATTGTTTCTTTGAAAGAAGTATGTGCAGAAAGGCAAAGTTCTACTGCAAATTGAAGGCTATATTCGTAATCAGTGAGGTAGATAGTATTCCCTAAAATCCCAAATCTGCATGATTTATAGGGTAAGGTGAACAGTGAATCAAAAATACAATTTTCTTATTACAAAAGCAGTTTCAGGATAGGTTGGTTCAAATTGTTCTGAAATCCCTAGAGTCTATAGACTGATGGTTGGAAATTTACAATGATATCATTTTATATCTATTTAAGACTGTCTAGCAAGCTCAATTTCTGAGATTGCTAGCTCCCTTCTTTCCATTTAATTAGTCTGAAGTAGTCAAGATCTGAAATTCATTTAGGGACTTTGGGACAGTTTTATTTTATGGCAAATCTCTTAATATGTGACTCTTGAGTGCATTAAATGGTCATTAGGGATTGAATGGGTAAAGTAGCTTATCAATATTATAGGTTCTCTCTGAGATTGAAACTTACTCCCAGAAGAGTTTATGTTCTAATGTAAAGCTAACTGAAAACACGAATCCATAATATTTGGAGTTATGGTGGTAGCAAAATTAGCTTTGAACCTTCTAATCTTAGGATGTCTTACGAGGGGACATGGAAAATGGAGTTACTTGATGCCTTAAAGGCTAATGAGAATTAAAACCAACTCTTAATGCCACAATGTGAGCTAAATGTAGCCCAAATGTAGATTGAGATCAGTGAAAACAAATGTTTCAAAATAACACACATTTTAAAGGTGAAAAAATCTGAAAGAATAGCAAGAAATACTGATATTAAGCCTGTAAAATAGTTACATCATTTGCCATTTGTTTTCTAAGAAAGATGTTTTCATTCTCAGAGCAAAGGGCTAACTCAGAGATTAAAAAAAAAAAAAGGTCTGTAACAGGTATTCTAAAAGATGAACCTTTTTGGAATCAATGAACTTGGTATTGATAGTAATGCATTGTTATCCCATTGAGAGGGAAAAAAAACCCCAACTCTTCAAAATGTTCTCAAGCCACATGTACTTATTTGGAATTCCAAATGAATTGTATGAAATCAGAGTGTAATTTTTACCCTGTATCAGATTGGTCTTTAATAATGTATTTTATTTTTGCTTCAAGGAAAAAGAATATATATATATATATTTATAATACATATATAAAAATATAAACATAACAAAATGTTAACTATAAAATTAGTCTACTATCCATACAGCTTCTTTTTTTTTTTTTAAATTTTATTGTTATGTTAGTCACCATACAATACATCATCAGTTTTTGATGTAGTGATCCACGATCCATTGTTTTCGTATAACACCCAGTGCTCCATGCAGTACGTGCCCTCCTTAATACCCATCACCAGGCTAACCAATCCCCCCTCCCCCTCCCCTCTAAAACCCTGTTTGTTTCTCAGGTCCATAGTCTCTCATGGTTCATCTCTCCCTCCAGTTCGCCCCGCCCATTTTTTCCCTTCCTTCTCCTAATGTCCTCCATGTTATTCCTTATGTTCCACAAATAAGTGAAACCATATGATAATTGACTTTCTCTGCTTGACTTATTTCACTTAGCATAATCTCCTCCAGTCCCATCCATGTTGATGTAGAAGTTAGGCATTCATCCTTTCTGATGGCTGAGTAATATTCCATTGTATATATGGACCACATCTTGTTTATCCATTCATCTGTTGAAGGGCATCTCGGCTCTTTCCACAGTTTGACTATTGCGGATTGCTGCTATGAACATTGGGGTGCATATGGCCCTTCTTTTCACTACATCTGTGTCTTTGGGGTAAATACCCAGGAGTGCAATTGCTGGGTCATAGGGTAGCTCTATTTTTAAATTTTTGAGGAACCTTCACACTGTTTTCCAAAGTGGCTGTACCAACTTGCATTCCCACCAACAGTGTAAGAGGGTTCCCCTTTCTCCACAACCTCTCCAACATCTGTTGTTTCCTTCCCTGTCCATTTTTGCCATTCTAACTGGTGTAAGGTGGTATCTCAGTGTGGTTTTGATTTGGATTTCCCTGATGGCTAATGATGATGAACATTTTTTCATGTGTCTGTTAGCCATTTGTATGTCTTCTTCAGAGAAGTGTCTGTTCATCTCTTCTGCCCACTTTTTGACTTGATTATTTGTTTTTTGGGTGTTGAGTTTGAGAAGTTCTTTATAGATTTTGGATACCAGCCCTTTATCTGTAGTGTCATTTACAAATATCTTCTCCCATTCTGTGGGTTGCCTCTGTTTTGTTGACTGTTTCCTTTGCTGTGCAGAAGCTTTTTATCTTGATGAAGTCCCAAAAGTTCATTTTTGCTTTTGTTTCACTAGCTTTTGGAGATGTATCTTAAAAGAAGTTGCTGTGGCCGATGTCAAAAAGGTTACTGCCTATGTTCTCCTCTAGGATTTGGATGGATTCCTGTCTCACATTGAGGTCTTTCATCCACTTTGAGTTTATCTTTGTGAATGGTGTTAGAGAATGGTCGAGTTTCATTCTTCTGCATGTGGCTGTCCAATTTTCCTGGCACCATTTATTGAAGAGACTGTCTTTTTTTCCATTGCATGTTTTTTCCTGCTTTGTCAAAGATTATTCGACCATAGAGTTGAGGGTCCATATCTGGGTTCTCTATTCTGTTCCATTGGTCTGTATGCCTGTTTTTGTGCCAGTACCATGCTGTCTTGGTGATCACAGCTTTGTAATATAGCTTGAAATCGGGCAACGTGATGCCCCCAGCTTTGTTTTTCTTTTTCAACATCTCCTTGGCGATTCGGGGTCTTTTCTGATTCCATACAAATTTTAGGATTGTTTGTTCCAGCACTTTGAAAAATGTCATTGGAATTTTGATCAGGATGGCATTGAAGGTATAGATTTCTCTGGGTAGCTTAGACATTTTAACAATGTTTATTCTTCTGATCCATGAGCATGGAATATTTTTCCATCTTTTTGTGTCTTCTTCAATTTCTTTCTTGAGTGTTTTGTAGTTCCTAGAGTATAGATCCTTTACCTCTTTGGTTAGGTTTATTCCGAGGTATCTTATGCTTTTGGGTGCTATTGTAAATGGAATCGTTTCTTTAATTTCTCTTTCTATAGTTGCATTGTTAGTGTATAAGAAAGCAACTGATTTCTCTGCATTGATTTTGTATCCTGCCACATTACTGAATTGCTGGATGAGTTCTAGTAATTTGGGGGTGGAGTCTTTTGGGTTTTCCACATAAAGTATCATGTCGTCTGCGAAAAGAGAGAGTTTGACTTTTTCTTTGCCAATTTGAATACCTTTTATTTCTTTTTGTTGTCTGATTGCTGTTGCTAGGACTTCTAGTAGTATGTTGAACAACAGTGGTGAGAGTGGGCACCCTTGACGTGTTCCTGATCTTAAGGGAAAGGCTCTCAGCTTTTCCCCATTGAGGATGATATTCGCTGTGGGTTTTTCACAGATGGATTTTATGAGCTTGAGGAATGTTCCCTCTATCCCTATACTCTGGAGAGTTTTAATCAGGAAAGGATGTTGTATTTTGTCAAATGCTTTTTCTGCATCAATTGAGAGGACCATATGGTTCTTCTCCCTCCTCTTATTAATGTGTTCTATCACATTGATTTGCGAATGTTGAACCACCCTTGCATCCCGGGGATAAATCCCACTTGGTCGTGGTGGATGATCCTTTTAATGTATTGTTGGATCCTATTAGCTAGGATTTTGTTGAGGATTTTGGAATCCATATTCATCAGGGATATTCGTCTGAAATTCTCTTTTTTGATGGGGTCTTTGCCTGGTTTGGGGATTAAGGTAATGCTGGCCTCATAGAATGAGTTTGGAAGTTTTCCTTCTGTTTCTGTTTTTTGAAACAGCTTCAGTAGAATAGGTATTATATATCCATACAGCTTCTTATACATATATATAAAATCTCCACTAGTTAGAGAGTTTTGGGGAATTTTCAACCATGTTACAAGGTTAAAAAAAAAAGCTCTTCTGCTTTAGAATCGAATTTCTTAACTTCCAGAGATTTTCTTATTAAATGTATATACTTGGTTGTACAAGAGTTCAATCTATGTTAAAGATAATTCTCTTTGAAGATCTCCTACACAGCATTATATTTATAGTTTAAAATATTGTAATGCACATTTAAGAATTTGTTAAGAAGGTAGATCTCATATATATATATTTTTTTACCACAATAAAAAAAGATATTCTCCTTCAGAGGTTATTTCTCTATCGACCTATCCATCTGTTCACTCGCTTTCCATCTACCTCTTATCAATTTATAAATATTAAACTAGCAGTTCATTGGTATGTAGGGGATTGAAATGAAAATAAGTCCCATATCAAAACTCTGTTTTATTGTTTTTATGACTGTGTCCAAATATTTTTTTTTAGGACACTCAATGTCTGTTCTATAGGTGGTTTTGATCACTATAATGTATCAATGAGCTTTCTGCATAATCACCAGTTGAGTGGGTCTGACATTTCATGTATATAATTTAAAATGTTGGTGGCAAATTGGAATCTCAAGTTCCCTATCCTTCAAAATCAGATATTTAAAAAAAAATTGCTTAAATTATTTGGAAGCTCATGCTTTTTTAATCAAAATTATTTTTTTTCTAATGGTGATTTTTTTCATGGTATTTATCTAAAATTAAAGATAGGTTTCATAAAAGAATGGAAGGATTATCTTGTTCTCTAAACATTATGAAAGCATGTGGTCCACTCTGTCCCTTCCTCCTAGCCCAAGTTCACCATCTCTTCAAGTTTCTCTTACTCTGAACCCTGGTGCCAACTTCTGTTGATCCCCTTCTTTTGCTGCTCCCTCCTTAAAGCTCTGACTCAAGTCACATAAGAATAACCTGCTTGTCATCTTTTACTCTTGTGGATGAGATCCAAAGGCAGTTCTAAGCTTTTCTCATGGTTCCATTTCTTGTTCATAGTATGTACTAATTCCGGGGTCTGGTACTGGTGATTCTAATGGTCGATAGAATGAAATCATCTCAGTCATTGGTGAGGTCTTGTATTTTGTATGCTAAGAATGTCTAGATCCCCTGGAGGTATAAAAAAACGTTAACCATAAAATTAGCCTAGCAGCTACACAGCTTCAATTACCTGGTTTCATCAGCAGAATTCATTCTAGTTCAGAAGTATGTAACAGAATTTTTGGGATGTACTTACGTGTTTGTGCCAGGTTGTGGTGAGGGCACAATGATCAACACTGTATAATCTCACTTACATATGATTTTTAAAAAGTTGAACTTACAGAAACAGAGAGCAGAATGCTGGTTATCAGGGGCTGAGGTGTGGGGGAAATGGGGAGATCTTGGTCAGAGGGTCCAAACTTTTAGCTTATAAGATTAATAAGTTCTGGGGATCTAATGTACAGCCTGGTGCTATAGTTAGTAACACTGTATTGTATATTTGAAATCTGCCAAGAGAGTGGATCTTAAGTGTTCTCACTAAAAAAAAAGGAACATTGTGAGGTGATGTGTTTATTAGTTTGATATTGGGAGTCATTTCACAGTCATGTTCTCTATTATTTTTATTTCCCTACTTCTGTTCTGTTTTTGGGTCTTGTACTTCAATCTATAGAGAAATAAGTTTTTGGATCGCCTCCTGTTTGGAATCATCCATATTCCTTCTCCCTCCTATTCATTTGGCTGTTGAAGATGTGCATGATCTCTTTTTCCATTTTCTTTAAAGGAATGGTCTTCTTAATTGGTTTAATAAATGAGCCCTGTGCCACCATTTCTCAAAATTAAAAAATATATTTCAAACTCATCAATTCAGATCTAATTTATTCAGAATTTGGGATGATGTGGTTTACGACTGACTTAAGTTGCACAGTCTCTGAGAGAATGGTTGCTGAGTAAATTATTAGCCTTAATTGCATCCCAATGAGAGTCATATTTCCAGAATAAGACAGAGAGTTTAAGAAACTGTCTCAAAGTCATGCAGTAATTAATGATGGAGACAGGATGACAGCCCAGGACTCCTAATTTCCACCCACAGGCAACTGATGAGAAGAAACTCTTTTCAGACGTTTCAGAAATGCCATTTGTGTGCCCAATTTGATGAAAGCTTACAATTTTTCAGAATCATCTACACGGTACCGTGTGAGCATTCTTCTGCGGCTCCTATGTAACAAGATGTGTCTATTTCACCCAATTTGGAGGTACAAATTTCTAACTAAATGAAGTTTGGGAGTAATTGAGAAAGTGAGAAGACCTTTAAAGAACTGTAGTATCATTGTTAAGCAACTCAAAATTAAATTTAGTCCTAGGGTAAACTGATATGAGGAATGCGGCTAATGCTGTCTGAGGGAACGGAAAAACAAGGAAAGCATATATGAAAAGAATAAATAAGGGGTTATGGAAATGTTCACCCATTTGGACATAACCGGCCCACAGGATGTTAAAAGAAATCCGTTTAACTCCACATTTGTGTACACGGTAGGGAAAGGGTTGGTTACCCAATATGGACTTTAAAGGAACAAACAAGAAAGGAAATGATTTATGTCTGTCTTTTGAGTAACACAGAGGAAATGGTTGGCGATGTAGACATAAGGGACTGCTTAGCAGAGTGATAGCCATCATAATTCAGTTAGATTGTAATTGAGAATCAAGTGAGACCCAGAAAAGTAAAATTTAGGCTGATGATTGCCAAATTAAAGCAGAGAAAATGGGAAAAAGAAAGGGGATACTTAGATATAAAGTCAAGGCAGAAGGCTCAGGAGGACAGAGTTGAAAGTAAAAAGAAATGGCCACCAAAAATATTCACTAGTTTTGTTTTTTTTCAAATTTTAGAGTGACTCAATGCATATTATAATACAGGGAAATTAAAAAACAAAATGTGAGAATAATAAACTAGAAAATTCAGATGAAGCCCAGGAAGAATTATAGAATGAAGCTAAAGCACTGTAAAATGATAATGAAAGCTACTCTGGCGAAAGCAAATATCTCGCAAGAAGCTCACATAAATAAGTGAAGATTTTGTTCAAGATTCTAACCTGTAAAATCTCAGCGGTGGCTGCAACTGGCCCTAGAAACACGGTAAGGAAAATCCATGGGGAGAAGGTATGGGGACATTGTGAAAAAAAGGAAAAGAATTTTTAAATGGAGTTGACAGCAAGTAGGGCGTAACCTGCCCTATTAACTTTGATGAGACAAGTAATTATTCTACCTAGGGTAGGATAAAGACCATGACTTACTTGAGCTTTAGGGAGATTCCGGGTAGAGCATCACAAGGTGATTGACCTGCTCCTGAGCCGGAGGAATTTGCAACCCCTTGCCTAAGGAGGTGGTGCTTTCCTTTGGCAGAACTAATGGCTGTGGAGATAATACTGTTCTTGGAGTCAGCAGGCATGGGTGGAATCCAGGTCTGCTACTTAGAAGCTGCAAGAGTTTAGATAACTCATGTTAATTATGGGATTCAGTCTCCTCAAAGTTGTTGGTTAGATAAGACAATTTCTCATTTCCTTTTAAGATGAAGGGTATGGAAAAAGAAAATATAAAAATAAAAAACAAAACTGTACTTTTTCCGTCCCTGGATCTGTGCAACAGAAATCTGGGACTTAGAAAAGGCAAGTCTCCTAATTTCTCCCCTCCCCCCCGTGGTCCTAATAAGGACTCTAAAGACCAAATGCCAGGTGGGGAATTTCATAACAGTTGCAAGGAATATTCTGTGAGATTCTGAGAGTCTTGTAATTCTCTTGAATCCTGGCTTAGAGGTGGGGCTGAGCTTAGATATCCACTGTGATTTTCCAGTGCGAGTTAATTATACTCACTCCTTCATTCAGCAGAGATATTTTTAGAGCCTACCATATGCTAGTATGTACTAGGGTATTTACAAACCAAGGAAGCCTCATGCTTACTCCTGAAAGACTCAATGCAATGAAGTGAATTTCATGTATTGCATTAGTGGAGATGAATATGGTATCGTTGAACAGTAACTCGGATGCTTTTATGAAGGACATTAAAAAAATAAGTTATTTGACATCAGGGTACTTGTTTTTCAATAACCACTACTTGCTGCATCTTTATGAATTTAAGATGGCTTTTCATCAAGTTTAAGATACCGTCAGTTATTAGGCCCATCACCAGTATAACAACTACTTAGTGGGGAAAAGAAGAAAACTGCCACATTTACGTACACACTGACTCTCAGCCACATCCCGGTTTCTGAATTCTCAAAATATGAAAGAAATGTGGTTTATAATTCAAATAATAAAATAGTTAACTTTTGTTTTGGAGGTGAGCAGGGCCTCAGATAGTGAAAAAATAGCAAATTATCCTAACCCAGAAATATTATAATAATGCATTCCTCCACTTACAATAGTATAGAAAGGCATTTGACCGTCAGGACATCTGCAGCCTTTCAGACAAATCACAATACTATTTGTGAAGACCTCCTTTGTGAGGAATTAGAAAGCAATGCAGCTTCCCCATGTCAAACTATTATTTATCCCAGATACACATTCTCCTCTGAATAGGCCTAAGGGTTGGTGAGCAGGTCAGACTGAATGGCCATTTTTGAGATTTCATTTAGAGTCCAAAGTGGAGGTGTTAGGGGGAAAGGATAGAACAAATAGGTTTTTTTTTTTTTTTTTTTTTTGTATACTATCTACACATCAGAGATAATTGCAGGTCACAGGTGTAAATAACTGAAGATGGTGGCCAGTTGCATAAGCAGCTGCAACTCTAAATAGGGAAGTATAGCTTCAAGTATATCTCCAGGCTGTTGCTTTGAAAATATTCATATTTCTCAATGTACAGGACGGTTGGATTATTTGTTTTGTTTTGTTTTTTGTTTTGTTTGTGTGTGTATGTATTTTTACATAAATCACATTTCCTCCGCCTTCAAGAATATGACACACACACATATTTACCTATCATGGGACTAAAATGCATGCTCATACAATTTTAAAAACAGCATAATGTCTTGAAAAACTAGGTTTCAAGTGATATGTACAGTAAGCTTTGGGCCAAGTAGATGTAGAAATGGATCTCGGGTGCCAAATCTGATTTGGATAGCAAATTGTCTACAGAAATTGCTGCCAAAAAGAGTAGTAGTAGGTCAGAATTTCTTCCTGTATAAACTTGTAGAAAAAATTTCTGTATCAGGTATATGGTGTGTCATATGACTAAAGTCATCTTGAATAAGCCAATAAACTGTTTGTTTTAAAATATGCACATACTTAACATATTTTAATTTAATTAAAAGCCTATGGGCTAGGAATGTACCACATCTGATTCTGTAGGCCTTTTTCCTGTATAAATCATTCATCCATTTGTTCAGTCACTTATTCAGCTAAAATCTATGGAACAAGGTGGGAAATAGATGAACAAACATTTTTAAAGTAATATGATGGGTGTTCCTATTGCTGTAAGCACATAGTACAAAGGGTTTTCCTGACTCAGCCCAGGGGAAGAGGGGCAGGGCAAACTCCAAACAGGGGGAGAACCATGTGGCTTGTCCTGGGCATGCATAGTCAGACCAGAACATGGGATTCCTTCAGAGATGGTGCAGCCTCAGCAGTCCTACTCAATGTAGCTGGTCTATGTATTGGTCATAAGTCCTCAAAGAGATGAACTTACGACACATCATTCAGAGCAATGCCTTGCTTCCTTCATTGAAAAAGAATGAGTACCAAAACAAAACAAAACAAATGTCAGCTGAACTAAGCTGTGTGCTTGAGTGAACTTCTGGTGCAAGCTCCTTATCTCCTTGCTTGCAGACTATCACCCCGACTGGGGACCACAGTTTGAGGACACTTTGAGTAGGAGATATATTGGAAAGGGTAAGACTGTCTTTAGGGATTTAAGTTGGAGATCATCAAGTGGACTAAACCAGATTATGAGGTAGTGCAAGTAGGAACGGAGAGAATGAGACAAATCCCAGGAATATCTAGGAGGAAGAATGTGTAGAACTTGGGGAATAATTGGAAATGGGATTGAGGGTAAGTGAAATTGTGGCTGAGCGTTCCAAAATTTCTGGCTTAAGCAGCTGGTATTGATCAGCCAGGTATACATGAAAGTAAGTTTGGTGGCCAGATGATGGGTTCAGTTCTGAACATGTGTGTGAGATAGATAACTGTGGGGCATTCGAGAAGATATTTGGAAATATGCATCAGGATATCCAGATAAGAGGTCTTGACTGATGCATTTCAAAGTCAATAAAATTAATAGTAGAAGTCTTGGTTGTATATGAGGTTACCTAGGGAGAGTAAATAAAGTAGGGAGAGAAGAGAAGCAGGGAATTTATCTGGGGGACAACACTGATGGTTAGTTTAAAGAAGAGGAAACTTTAGGACTAAGAAGGAGCAATGGAAAGGGTTAGAGAAAATTCCCAGAAGAATGTTATTGGAGCCAATGCTAGAAAGATCTACAGGAAGGAGACAGTCAACACTGTCAAGCTCTTCAGAGCTCTTTACAAATTCATTTTGGTGATACCATATCTAGCGGCAAATGAGGTGCAACCCACATTTCTGTCTGGCCATATTTTGGAGGCTCCCAGCTGACGATTGCCAAGCCAAGTTCATAGGACACAAATGAGACAAACAAGAAGGCAACAGCTGTCCCTGGGAGAGAAAGGATTGATAACTGATGTTTTTTTCCTGCCAATCTGAATTTGGAAAGGAAGGGACAGCGTGGAATTTCACCTTCCTTTCTTGACCAGGCACCACAGATAGAGAGCTGGGAGAGCTGATTCGGCTAAGAATTCTTACCCTCAGCTGGCTTCTGCCAGTTTTCCTAGGATGCCGTCTGCACTCTCCAGCGTGAATGGACTGTCCCAGCACGTCTCACCCTGGTCACCAGAAACTGTAGAGGGCAAAAAATAATTTTCCCTCTAGCCTTTATAGCGAATGCCTGGCTGAGACCTCTTTTTCTCTAGGGCGCCTCGAAAATGGATAAGCTTATCTAAGATGGTTAAAATTTCTCCACAGTGGCCACTGTAATTCAAGATTGTCTTTGGTAAGGTTAACCTACTTGTTCAGCCTTAAAACAAAATTTTAGTCACCTGATGCCTCACACTGGACCCAGTTCAGCTTAAGCAGGAACCAGTCCGGTTTTTAGGTCAGACCCGGTCCAATCCCGGGCTCAGCCGGACTCTGGACCCAGTCTGGGTTTTTCAGTCAGACGCAGCTGGTTCAGGCTGGTTCCAGGCTCGTGGGGGGAAAAAGAAACTGCTGTGTGTCAAGTCTGAAGGCGTTCAGTGCAAGAGCTGGGGAGCTAGAACCCAGGATCTCGGAGGGACTTAGCCACCCCCTCCAGAGGCAGCGAGAAAGCAGCCCGCTCGAGGGCCACCACAGGTACCCAGGCTTGGTTGCTTCTAGCTCCCCGGCGCTGTCGGGGTGTCCTTCCGTTCCTTCCCGTGACACCAGAACTGTTAAAAGATAAACCGAGGCATATTAGAAACACGACAAGTTTTACTTGAGCAGAAAGCAATCCGGATCAGCCAGCACCAAACCAGAGGTGGTTTGAAGGACGCCCACTCCGATACTTTCTATGCAGCAAAGATTTAGGGTGACCCTAAGAGTAGATTGAGTGAAGAGGTCAGGAGCAAAATCCAGACCAGCGAGTCTCTTCCTTAATGGACAGTTTCTTATTGTTCAGTAACTCCATTCCCAGTTTTCCGTCAAGGATTTCAGTTCTTTCATAAACAATCTCTAGATTTTACTAGAAGAATAATGGTTTAGCAAAAAGATTAACATTCTGGAATATCTTTAGTCCCTGATTCACCACTTAAGCACTTGGGATAACTCTCTGAGCCTTAAATTTTCTTAATAGGGCTTTTATGGCGATTGATCCAGATAATGCATTTGAAATTATTTTGTAAGATAATTAGAACAGAACAAATGTTGGTAGTTATAATTCTCAGAAGCTATTTCCATATGATGTATGGAAATTTCACTGGAGTTGGGTATTAGGCTGAGTTATTAGTTGTGTTCTTGGTTCTCTCATATTTTCTTGTTTTGTTTTGTTTTGTTTGTTTGTTTTAAAGATTAAGAGTTACTTCCCCAAGGTAGAATTATGTGTGTCTCCTCATTGCGTTTACCGTGTTGAATTGAAATTTGGGGCTATTATCTTCTGTATACAAGATGGTAACAAATGCCTATTGTTTTAATGATTGTTTCTTACATTTTAAAATGGCCCCACCAGCAAGGTATAAAGGAGAAATAGTTTCAGTTTTGATTTGTCTATTTAAAATATGTCTGAATTCCTATAATTAAGAAATGTTATCGATTTATGTTGCATAAGGACCTTACCAGCCTTGGCTTTCTGACCTTTGGAAAATTAGACACTTTCCATTCATCTAAGGGGACGAAGGGTCAGCCCTACGCATTAGGGGTGAGCTTATTTCAGAATGGACGAAATACCAATTATATTGAGAGCTGTGTGGTTTGTTGAATACTTGGCTGGATGCCTATAAAAGGAGAATTCATTAAGTGTCGGTTAAGCCCTGTAACTCTCTGTCATTGTTATCATCCTGTTTTCTGGCAAATAAGAAGATAACATTTGTATAGAAACAAAAGGATAATGGATTCTTGAGCAGGGGCATCTGGAAATACATCAGTGGGCCCTGTTATGTGATTACAGTTGCAGTGTTCTCTGCTCTGCAAGAAAATCTGAGTTGGCGTTTCTGATTCTGGCATGTGGCAAGGAGGACCCGAATTGCAAAGCTCTGTCCTGCCTGACTGTGTTCCAGAGTGGACAGTGTGAAGTGCAAGAGGAACATGGAACTCAGTAGTTTTGAGTTCTCATTCAGCCTTCACCAACTATAGGACTTTACTTTCTTTTATATATTTATTTATTTTTATTTTTAAATGAGGTCAGTGGTGTCTGCTTCACTGGTTTGTGGTGAGGATTAAATACAATTACTTTATGCACATAAAGTGATATGCAAGTGGAATAATTTTAATAGGGATCTCTTGAAAATGCAATCATTTTAACCTAAAATAATGTCTTGTTGTGAAATACTGGGTTCTATGCCAGTTGGTGATAGTGGAGGAAGCTGTGTTTGGGACAATGCTTTTTTTTTTTAAGATTTTATTTATTTATTTGACAGAGAGAGACACAGCGAGAGAGGGAACACAAGCAGGGGGGAGGGAGAAGCAGGCTTCCCGCGGAGCAGGGAGCCCGATGCGGGGCTTGATCCCAGGGCCCTGAGATCGCGACCTGAGCCAAAGGCAGACGCTTAATGCCTGAGCCACCCAGGTGCCCCCAGACAATGCTTTCTTAATACATTAAATCATATCCTATGAGCAACATGATATAGAGTCAATAAGATACTGTAGCAATGATGAGGGATAGAAGATTAATTTGATTTATCATTCAGATATGCTCATTTTTCCTCTCTTCATTCTATGATTATTTTACTTCCAAAACCTTTGACATTAACATATAAAGATTAACCAATAACAGAAAAACTACACAAATGCATTTATGTCATTCTTTTATAGCTCCTCTCATTGATTCTGTTCTTTTTCCTTTGTAGAAAGATAAAAAAAGACTGACTGATTTTTTTAGGAGTGGTCATATATAGATATATCAATGGTATGCACTGGTTTTCTGACGAATCTTACTCTGTCTTTTGCTTAATCTCTGAGTAAATGACTTGGAATTGAGATAATGAACGTATTGAGAGAAAGATAAGCAAGCTGAGCAAACAGGTAAATGAAGTCACAGTCAGTCGGGGATACTTCCAACTTGGCTTGAGCAGATGCAGGGAAAGCCTTGAGTTTTCAAGGGAAAACCAGTGAGTCTGCCCGTGGCAGCAGTTAGTACACTGCACGTGTAAACAATCTCTGGATGGCAGGTGGTGGCATGGGGTGGCATGGATTTATGGGGCTTGTATTTGGGTTAAATTAGAAAATTTTTTTCTCCCCTCCCCCTCTCCCCCTCTTCCCCTCCCCCTCCCCTCCTTCCCTTCCTTCCTTCTTTCCTTCCTTCCTTCCTCCCTCCCTCCCCCCCTCCCTCCCTCCCTTCCTTCTTTCCTTCCTTCTTTCCTTCCTTCCTTCCTTCCTTCCTTCCTTCCTTCCTTCCTTCCTTCCTTCCTTCCTTCCTTCCTTCCTTCCTTCCTTCCTTCTTTCCAGTGCCTCCTGTCTAAAATGAGTGTCCAGTTGGAATCTCAGCTTTCGTAAGCTGCAAGGGTGACCAGGAAGGGGGAAGGAGGGTGGATGCAAAATGCACTGACCGCAGCTGGAGGCAGATGGATTCCTTAAGGACCTCGAGGGCTTTAAAAGAGCTAGGAGGGAAGATTGGGATGGTGGTGTGCTTGACAAAATATTTTGGTGACAAAGCTCAGCCATAAGCTGGACATATGGTTGACTTGGGTAGGCCTGAAAAAAAAATCGCAGTTGATGAAATTTTTTTTTTTTTGATGCTCTGTATGTCTTTTTCCTGAATCTAGATTTCCTTTTTTCTTCTTTCTTAACCTTCTTCTGGGCACAGCCCTATTGGTTAGGAGGAATTTATGTGACAATTTTTTATGTCACTCTTCCAAGGAATACTCACATGGTGAACATATTAATTAGTGGAATGTATTGATTGGATGTTGGTTTAGTTGCTTGTAATGGAGGTGGAAAACAAGACTTTAAACAAGATAAAATTTTTCTTCTCTTGCTCCTCTGAGTGTGGGCAGCTATGGTGACTCTGCATAGTCATCAGGGGCCTGGTTTTTCCTATGTTGTTATTCCCTTTTGAGTATTGCTCTCATCTGCTCACCACCTTGTTCTGCCAGCATGAAGGAGAAAGGAGGAAAGGGGAGAATGAGGGCATTCCTGTTTCCTTTAAGGGCATGACCAGGAAGTTGCATTTGCATCCTGTTAGTTCAGACGTGTTCATGTGGTTCCGCTGGGATGCAAAGGAGACTGACATTTCCCTTCCTTCCTTCCCTCCCTCCCTCCTTCCCTCCTTCCTTCCCTTCTTTCTTTCCTTCCTTTTTCCTGTGTGCTTGTCTTAGCTCAGGCTGCTATAACCACATACCATAACTGGGTGCTTAAACAATAGACATTTATTTCTTATAGTTCTAGAGGCTGGGAAGTCCAACATAAGGTGCTGGTAGATTCTGTTCCTGGTGAGAACTTTCTTCCTGGCTTGCAGATGGCCACTTTCTCCTATGTCCTTACATAATGGTGAGAGAGGAAGAGAAAACTCTGGTCTCTCTTCCTTTTCTTAGAAAGACACTAATCCCATCATGGGGGCTGCACCCTTATTATCTCATCTAAACCTAATTACTTCCCTAAGATCCCACTTCCAAATACTATCACATTGCGGGTTAGGGCTTCAACATAGATTTTGGGGGGCTGTAAGCATTCAGACCATAATATTACCTCCTCCCGGAAAAAATTTGGGATTCTATTTCATTAGAAAGGGAGACTAGATATTGAGATGTTAATTATCAGTCTCTGTGGCATTAATAGAGAAGCTAATACTTAATATAGTGGGGTTAGGATTTTCATGGAATTTGACTGAAAGATAATTTCTAGGGTGGGATCATATACTTGGGTTTATTTCCTCATTCAACAAATATTTACTGAGTATGACAGGGACCATGCTAGAAAGTACTAGGAATACATTGATAAGAAAAACATACATGTTTCTTACTCTCATGAAACTTACATTTGTAGTGGGGGTGAGAAATCTATAAAATAACCATACATAAATATGTATTACAAATGGTGGTAAGTGCTATAAGGGAATAATACTGAGTACTATGTGATCATATAGCAGGGCAATTTGTGAAGACTTCCTTGAGTAAAATTTGAGCTGAGTTTTGAAGAGTAAGAAAGATAGAGGGAAAAGCATCTTCGGCAGTGGAGACAGTGTGTGCAAAGGCCCTGAGGTGGAAAGGAACATGGCTTGTTTGAGGAACTTAAGGTGGAACATGACAGCTGAAGTGAAGAGGGGTATGTGGTGAGTCCGTAGACATAGAAAAGGCTTTTTAGGCAGAGGTGTGGAGGCTGTCATAAGGTTGTTGATTTTATCCTAAGAGCAGTGTGCTATTATTCAAATATTTTTAGCCAGGGTTGACATGATCAGATTTGCATTTGGAAAAGCTCACACTGGTGGCCTGAGGGAGAACAGATTCTAGTAGTTGTAGAAAGACCAATTAGGAAGTTATTGGAGGGATCCACATTAGAGATGATAGTAGCTTGGAATTAAGCAGTAGCAGTGTGATTGTGGGGCATGGATATATACAGGAGATATTTAGGACATTAAAAAAAAAAGTTAACACATCTAGTGAGATATTGGCTATAGAGGACAATGGAGAGTAGGAATTGGAGAAGACTTTTTGGTTTCTAGTTGAAGCAGTTGGATGAATGATGGTGCCATTTATTGCATGGGGTCATTGAAAACGAACTATGTTTTAAGGAAAAGAGC